TTTTTTTTTTTGTTGTCTAGTCCCTGCTCTTTCATTTGTGTTATAATTTGGTCTTTTGTATTTTAATTTTTTATCTACTTTATTCATTCTATATAACTATAGTATATTAAGTGGAGGTAAGACAAGAAGGCCTTACCCAAGGAGAAATCCTGGTTTCGCCACAGATCAGGAAGACAAACACAATGCCCATACAGAATAAAGGCAAATGAAGCATAGTGGATACAAATTATTGATGCTGGTAAAAATCATAATCTGGAGTTTGAAAATTAATCAAACGATATATATGAGATTTTACAAAAACATAAAACCTAATTAATTTTTACCCAACCCAACTTGAATTTATATTTTTATAAATTAGAATATATTTATAAAAACATAAAACTCAATTTGTCTCAAATTTCTACTCTTTTTATGCTATTTTTTGTGGATTTGTTAGATTGTATGCATTTACTAAACTGTATGTATTTACTTGTTTTAAATTTTTACCCTTTTTTATTTCTTTATATAGTATCTTTTTATAGTGTTTACGGAAATTTTTGCATGCTTTTCATTTATGCAGATTTTGTTTTTATACCTTATAAATTAATTTTTATGTAATGTTATAAAATTTACTTATTGAAAAAAATAAAGTTAAATTCTACCGTTTTAATATTTGATGTGAAGTCACATACTTACCAAGACCAACCATTCCCCGCGGGGATGGGAATGGAGTGTTTTTTTTTTTTTTTGCACCCCCACTAAAAGGGTAAAAACTTATTTTTTAGCCCCTCACGTCATTAAATTTGAATGTTTTAACTATTTATCTTATATTATGACATTTTTAATCTTTATTTTACTAAATTTGTAGGTTTTAACCCCTCACTTATTAAAATTAAAGAAAATAACCCTCATTTCATACTAACTGTTAACTCTGTTAATTAAAAGTAAATTTTTATCAACTAACAGCTAACTAATAATTAATTAACAGAATTAGTAAAATATTATAAAATTAATTCTATTAATTCTGCTAGCTTAAAAAAAGTTTTTTGACAATCAACTAACAGTCAGTTAATAGAACTAACAAAATTGAAGAAAATAAAGGCTATTTTCTTCAATTTTAATAGGTAAAGGTTTAAAAGTTTCATAATATAAGGTGATAAGGTAAAAGTTACAAATCTAATAAGATGAGAAGCTAAAAATATCATAGTAAAATACTAAAATCTTCAAACCTAACAGGTTAAAAATAAGTTTTTGTCCACTAAAAGTGCCTGCGGGATTCCGGCCCCACGGTGACGCATTGCCATTCCTCGTCCCTTCGATCATCTCCTCATCTAACCCTCATCGAATTTCCTATCCTCCCCACTAGAAACTATCGCAGATTTGCATCTTCATCTCCCAAATACTCATCATCTCTCTCTCTTGGTAACGTCTTTAACCTCTCTTCTCTGCACCCTCCTTCGCCGATCATCTTCATCATTATTCATCATCGCCGACCTCACACGCCATTATCTCCAGCTTCACCCTTTCATTTTTACTCTCAAACAAACGACACATAATCACATCCTCTCTAAATCGACAGGAGGCTCCAAAGTAGCTTCAATTTGGTCCTCTATTTCTAATTCTCTTTCAGAGAATATATCTATACTTTAGAAATCTCAATCCATCTCCAGTAATAGAAAGAAATCTCAATTCAGCCAAGTGCTTAGCCACTTGCCCTTTAGTGGGAACACGACCCCAGATTTTATAGTAGAGACCTGATGCAATGCTCATGATTAGACACAAAAAAAGGCACATAGTTAGTCTAACACCAGTCCATTAAACCATTATTGATTCCATCAACAGAGAATGCAGACTACCATTTAATCAATGACATTTTTTTTATTCATATAGCATAACTCTTGATTTCATGAAATAAACAATAATTCATGTATCAACTTTAGAAAATTAAAATTCACTCAAGAAAAGAAGTGGTAGAACACACTAAAAATACAGACCATTTCCAATACTTGATTAAACCATATTTTAATAAAATCATTAAAAAAACCCCACAAGTTATTTTCAATCTTTTTAGAAGTCCAGATACACCTAGACAAGCAGGAATTTCAGAAGCATCAAAAAATAGGGGAAACAATCCACAATCATATAAGCTAAATTTAATTCGAAAAAGCAGTTAAGCATATAAATTATATTAACATAGGAATACCAAGCATTCTATGAATCACAATCCACACAAATAAGAGTAAGCTCACCGGAATGGAAGACGAGACTAGCAGATCGTTGTCGAAATAGCTGCGAATGAGAGAACGAAAGTGGATCTGAGTTACCATTAATGGTGAAAGGAAAAAGAAAAGATAGTTCTGAGACTTACTAACAGATAATCGATACGATAGAGCCTCCTCGTCAGAGTAGCACATGCTTCGGCGACAAGTGAGATGGAGGAGAGCAAGACATTGGGAGACGACGGTCATGAGAGGGAGAAAGAGGAGGGCGAGAGTGAGATTTTGCCTAAAGTCGTAAAAATGAAATCCCATCCCGCGCAATCCCATGGACGAGGTGGGATAACTTTTATTTCAGTTTGTTGGGATAGGATGAAGTGTGGGTTACAATTTGTCCAATCCTTAAAGAGCACCAAACGTGGATTACAGGACTAATTTTTATCCAAACCTGAGTTATGTCTGGGCTTCCAAACGTGTCCTGAGTGTTTAAATTAAATGAGTGTATTTCCCAGCTATTTTCATTGAATATTTTGCCTAATCTTCTCTAGTTTGGTGGTTAGAAACAGATATGACAAGACCTATTTATGTAAACAAGAAGTATAATGCACTATTTTCTTTCATGCCTCAGGAGGACGCACATGATCAGGATTGTCTTGTGAATGCATTGGCAGCTAATTATCCTCACACGCTTGACCGTCATTAGCATTCCCTGAAATTTTGCTTTCTATAACTTCCATTAATGTAGAAGAAAACATATTCAAAAATAATGAAAAGCCACTCAGATCCGCAAAAATCCAACATAAATAAATTTCATTATTAATTTGTTTCCAGTTTTGTGGAAAACATAGAAGGAAAAACCTGATACAAGTGAGAAAATAAAAGGATCAAGATGATGTAACATTAAAGCTCAAGCCAGAAGCCTTCCATTTTTGCTCCGAGATCTGATCAAAACGTGCAGCCATCTCTGGTGTCAAGTAATTCTTCCAATCTCCGACTGCACCTTTTCTAAAGAATGACCGGTTTTCGATCTCGAACTTGTCCAACATATTATACTTTCCTGTTTTATTCACCTCTAGATTGCTCAACTTCTCAAAGCTACAGAGCTCCACGACTTTCTGCACCATGCCTCTGCTCTCTTCCTCTAATGTAAAGGGATACCCCATGAACTCAGCCAGTCTCTTCACATGAAAAACAGGGTCTCTCTTGATATCTTCATACATCAAGAAAAGTACCTTTTCAGGCAATTCCAAGCTTGCATTCCAATACTCCAAAACATGATCCCAGTAAGGCCCCCGGAAGGACAATCCTTGGCAGAACAACTCAACTGCCTCCTCCAGAGGAAATGGATCGCTGCCCTTGGGGATGTTGCTGTTAACATAATGCCACATAGAAATGAAAGTATCCTTAGGATCCCTGCAGATGTAAACAATTTTGCAGCCTGGTGTGGTGATGACGGATTTTGGTAAGCAACTGAATGAACTGTGCGTGGAGAGGAGAGGAAGGTCTGGACTCCGGTAGCTTTTGTTTTGGATGAAAGAAAACTCAATCAAGACGGGGACACACTCGTGCGAGACTTTGGTGAGTAAAGGGCTGTTGACATCGTCGTAGCGATTTCGAGTGACAATGGCAAAACCGAGGGCCTTGAGCCATGTTGTGCCTGATTTAGGTGGGCTGCTTAAAATGATGTCAGTGGGTTGAGCCTGGAAGTGCTGTTGAGCTAGTATGACACCCTCAAGGCCGATGAGATCGACCCAGAAGCCCTGGTATTGACAGAGATCTTTAAAGGGTACCAAGCCTCGTGCTCTGGGAAGGGAAGAGATCATCTCCTGCACCTCCTCTTTTGCGAAGCTTTCCTTCTCTTCTCTTTCAAGGTGATTGTGCTCCATGACTTTCGAAGAAGCTAAACCAGACTGGATGCCCTGTGCACTTTTGTTTTCGAGTGAAAACGAGAACTAAATGGACTTTAAAGATAATCACCATCATCCTTGTAAGTGTGAACAGAATCATTCCTAGTACTGTTCTTTATTTTTTTCATGGTTTGGTGCCCCAAGCCAGAAACACGTCCCACGTCCATTCGGTGTAATTAAAAAAATAAAAAATAAAAATTCTATCCTACCTCCAGAGAAAACTAGAATTTTGAACTTATCTTAGAAAATACTTATCAATAAATTTAACTTTTAAAGATAATTATTTCCATCTTGATTTCACATATTTTATGTATTGTTTTGAATCTGCTCAGTTGCTTCGGCCGAGAAACATGCCACCAAAATAAATTACTACCATCTAATTTAAGTTCTACTTGATCGTTAAAAATTACCGGTTTAGCCATTGCGTTCACAAAAACGAATCCATGTTTCAATACATAAAAATCTGAAGTCAACACCACGTGAACAAGAGGGATAGGGTGCACAAATTTAAAAAAAAAAAAGGAGAGAGAGAGAGAGAGAGATAGATAGGAGAAGAAGAAGTAATCCTGTTACGCGCATTCGACCTAACAAATTGAGCTAACAGTCCATGCACGCTCGTACCTTTCACGTAGCTAATTCTGTTGTAACTAACTGTCTAAATTCTTTTGTACTGCAAGACCTTATTTACTTTACTTTGTAGGAAACAAAAATTCATAATCAATATAAAGTGATCGTAAGTGGCAAATAAACTTTTTTGACACAGAAAACTAAACATATATCATATATGTCAATGTAAAATAACCAATAGGAATTTGTTCATGCAAGAGTTACACTAGTATAACATGATCAAGACTTGAAAACTGGGAATCTGCAAGACAATTGACAAGATCGGTTATCAGTTATGTTAGTTGAAATAAAACTGATGCTGTTGAATGGTGACGGGAGCATATTTAGAAGAATTTTTGGCATTTGGTATATCAAAGTTGAAAAAGTGGGGCACCACTAATGGAATTGTTAAGCCCACTAAAATTGTATTTAATTTAATTGATATTTATAATTTTTTTTTAAATATCAATCTAAAAATTAATTTCAATTTATTAAATAATAAATATCAATTGTTCTATCAATTATTATCTATTTTTAACAATCAAATTAAACAAAATTAACATTTTTTTAAAATAATTTTGGTGACCTCAACAATTTCCTTGGTAGACATAACCACACCCTGTAAAAGTAAACTGCAATAATAAGGCAAAGTACCATTTCTTTCAGTTGTTCAGCCTTGTAATTTATTGGAATTGGAAATAGAAGAAATAGATGGTACTACACTCGTTTTACAGCTGTTTGAATATATGAAGCTTGTTCTGGTATGATGGCTCAATTCAAATAGTGCAGAAAGGGGGCATCATATCCCACACATGCATGATTGAGGAGTACCAATGAAGGTGGAAGTATAACACAGAAACTTACAGAGGGATTTGATGCCATATTAGCCTTTATTGTTTACCAAATTAAAGAGATAAGTCCAGATATCCACTGAGTTCTTCAAAATTATTCATGTCTGAACAAATCAGCACCATCCTCAACATCATCAGTTTTAATGCTTCCACTCTGGGCCATAAGTATTCTGTACACCCTCTTTGAACAAACCTCACCCAACCTTCTCTCATTACCAACACCCCCATCTACTGGCAAGTCCTCCAGCAGAAATTCCTTTTCATGAACCTGCCAATTTGATATGAGAACAAAATTAAGTTAAAAGGAACCATAGGAACAAAGAAAAACAACAATAGCATGCTATTTGTTACAATGAATAGAAAAGGGAGAAAAGGGATAGGAGGAGATAAGGAATGAAACTAGTCTACCACTCCTTCATTCGGTTGAAAAGGGAAAAGTAGAGGAGGAGCAAGGTTCAATTGAAATCTTTCAGTCACCACATGATATTTTTCAATGAAAATTTTCTTCTGCCTCCAAACAGAAGGGTTGTGGAGGACTTTGAAAGAAAACTAATCCTCATATAATCTTCAAATCAGTTTAAAATGTGCAAATACTTCACTTCCACTTCAATCAACCATAAGACAAATGTTAACCCATCCAAATCCCCTTAGATTTACATTCATTGCAACCGAACACTATAACTATAAGTGGTCTCAACTCTCAAGTCACTATCTTTTTTTCCACCATTCCTTCCCACCATCCAGTGTCAGCTAAAAGAGATTATGACAAAGGCTTTCATCATCTTCTAATACTAATTAACTCCCTTGATAGCAAATTTCACCCCCTTTAAGTGCCATAAACACAATAAAGGGTGCAAATATAAACTGAAGTTGCAACATGAAGTGAGGTTGATCAAATTGTTTTATTGTCCATTTATATCCTTAATATATGAAGTACCACAGAGCAGTTCAAATTTCAACAAACGAACATACCTAGCCCAAATAGAATAGTATAACATAGGCTGGACATCACATTAAAGTCAAAGCTTGTATATCATCATTAAATGCAAAGATATAGACATAGACTTTGCTTCTACTTACTGATTTACAAGGGTCCATGTAAACCTGCAAAAGAGATTTCATGGTGGGGTACTTCTCCCTTATGGCTAGAGCAAATCGTGGCTGTACCTTTGGAATGGCTAGCAAAGCTTTTAACCTGGATATGATTAGCACCGTCAAGAAGACAAACACAATGCCCAAACAGAATAAAGGCAGATGAAGCATAGTGGATACAAATTATTGATGCTGGTAAAAATCATAGTCTGGAGTCCAAAAATTGCAGTTTTATTTGGAGGAAGATCCAATATTTTCTAAATAACAGGTGTAAACTCAATTTCCTATCTGAGATTCTGAAAAAACTAGAATGTCAAAAGACTAGGAGGGAGAAAATAAATATCAAAGTACTCAAAATAATGGGTTTGAAGCACTTTTTGTAAACAATTTTTTCCTTCACCCAGGATGAATCATCAGGGTTAATAAAACAACAAAAACAATAAGCATGCACGTGCTAACCTATTCACAGCGCGATCTACTCACCATAAACTCTCTTTTATTAAATTCTTGTAAACAAAGTCCTTCGGAACAAGGGATCCATTGGCATTTACAGATAGTCTCGTTAACTTCTTTCTGAACAAGAGGAAAAAAAATGATTAAAGGTAAAATGTTTGAGAAACCACCCAGGTAAAATGTTTGAGAAACCACCCAATCATGATAATACTAAACAAGTGGATATTCTGCACAACAAGGCATGTTTTGGTTTGAAATCAAGGACAAATTAATTCAATCAAAGAGGTGTACATAACAACTAAAAATAACCTTCACAAAAGTAAATATTGATGTAGTCAGATGGAATGTAATTGCTCGTCACTGGTAAAATAGATCTATGTACAGGCTAACGAAATGATAAATACTAACATCTTTATTCCATTTTACTTAGTAGATTTGCATTCTCAAAATGAATGATTGCAAAACATGATAATATTTCAGGTAGCAACCAAGTATCGCTATACACTACATATCCATACCTACCAATTGGCATGTATTGCAGACCTCAAAAACTAAATGACAAAAAGAAAGTGCTATTACTATTCCATCAGATAATCAAAAGCAGGTTGAAAGGCCAAGAAAACCTCTCATAAATCATAAAAACCATATGTGAACCACTGCAATCACATATTGCCTGTCGATTATAACAGTAATACCCCCATATGAGGCAAGTGACAACAAAACCAAGATTACTTTTATAACATGAATGACATTGAATACTTTTAAGAATTCTAGAAAAAAACAAAAGGAAAAAAGATAAGAAAAAAAATATAACTACTACCGGAATTGGCAAGAGGCTAAGCTGCTTGTCAAACCAACAACATGTTCTGCCAGTTCAGCTTCATCTGCACACTGCCTAGAGTGCATCCTGGCATAATGAGTTGTGAGTTTTGCCAGCACCTGCAGGACCAACTTCTAACAAATATCAAAATAAAAGTAGAATTAAAAGAATTCTAAGCTTTTAATTATGAGTGTATGTGTGTGCATGCTATAATTTTACGCATTTTTATTTAGTAGTTTAACCTCTTCAACTGGGGGCCGTTGCCATCCATTACCATTAGTTGGGTCCTTATACTGCTCTCGTTCTCTAAAACATTGCAAAATAAATCCAAATTCATTATGGTCAGCTAATTGGGATCAATGACAATATCACATTTCAAGTAAAAATCTTTAACCAAGATATAGCCAAAAACTAGCACAGAGCTGCTAACCAGATCAAACGGAGAACCTTCTAAAACCTGGCACCTTAGCAAGGTTTATATCTCCAAAAAAAAAAATATATCTCTTTGCTTTTTGCACCAGAGATAGATCAAAATTTCCAATTCTCGGATACATAGATGAAACATTCACTTAATTACATGTAACAAATTGCAAATTACAATCAACTCTTTGATGATATGGCCTAGAAGATAAACTGGAAAAAACAAAGCACACTGGCAGCACACCATGGCGATGCTCAGGGTTTTCTGTTCTCAATTCCAAAGTTTTCATGAAGAAGAAGAAGAAAAAGAAGACACATCACACTTGCAGCACACCCTGGCAATGCACAGGTTTTTTTTGTTTTCAATTCCAAAGTTTTCATGAAGAAGAACAAAAAGTGCCAAACATACATAGAAATTAGCAAATTAAGATATTTTCTAGAAAAAAGAAGCAACCTTCTAATTTCTTATTCTAAATCACATTACATTACAACAATCATAATTTATTAGAAAGGAAAAAGCACAAATAAACAACTCCCAAATAAACTCATATTTATGCGTATTTCCTGTTAATCCAATCTCAATCTTTACAGCACTTTCAATTCCCAAATAAACAATTCAACTGAATACTTCTAATCCAATTTCTAGTATAAAAGCCAATGCAAAACCACAAACCCTCCACTTGATAGACTCATACAATTACAAGAATATAACAAAAACTTGAAAATAAGAAAAGGGGGAACAGCATAAATGAGATTAGCACATCACATTATTTAAAAGTCATGGCCTACTGGTTTAAAATCTTGATTATCTTTAAGAGGAAAAAGTGCAAAAATTTCTTTAAAAATAAGGTAAACATGGTATTCTCAAAGTGAAAGGAAGAACATTACATAATTGGTCAAATAAAAGGACAACGAGCAACACCAGCTTTGCCTATGTATAAGAGAACTAAAGAAACCTAAAAGCAGAAAATATACACAGAAAAGAAGGCAGTAGAGAATTATCCAACAGATGAACAGAAAAGGATTGAACATCTATGCTAGGGAATTTTTGAAATATCTCACCTGCCACTGATATATGACAGTAATCTATTTATGAGACAGCAAACCGTATAATTGGGGTACTGACTTCGAACTTTAGAAAGATGACAAAAAAGTGTCTCATTAGTCACATGATCACAAAATTCTGCAGCGCCATATACAAGCAATATGTATGGAATCTCTACTCCTCGTGGAGAAAGCTGCAGAGCAGATCTATGTCAATATTGGGTAAAATTGAAGAACAATGTTCATGAATAACATTGCAGTAATGTTCATGGTCAATTTGTCACTGTAGAATCCAAAATTAAGTCAAAAATAGAAAAACCATAGAATCCAACATTAAGTCAAAAACAGATAGAACACCACATGGACAGGGTGCAGCATCTCCAAAAGGTTTATCCTAAAGTTCAACCCAAGGAACAATAACAACCTCACTCAACTACAACTAACAAAGACTACTAAATTTATGAAAGAGGCTTAAAGGAAAAGTTTGCTTTTGGTAGTGATTGGAAGTTTCTCCAACTAATTCTTCAGTCACGGAAGTAATTAGAAATATAAGAATATCAGATTGGGGCACAAACAGTATTACATTATGTTTGAGGCCTGCAAGTGAACAACAGGCCTTGCTAAGGCTGAAGATGATTGCAAGTTTGCAACACATAATTTTTTAACCCAATTAGGAGGATGAACTATATGAACTAATATATTTACCATTCAAGTTCTCTGGAGGCTAAGGAAGGGTGTGAGTAGTAAACTAGGCTACTGTAGATGGAACTTACAAGCTTATATGTAGCAACACAAAGGAAGATATTTAATTTGGTAATATATTTTTGCACACAAACTATAGAAGAATCAATTCTTCTAGTTACCGATGTTCACAAGAAATGGCATATGGACTATAAACATTTACCTGTGAAATAGATTCAGGGACTGTCATGGTCCAGACAATTGATCTTTCAACAGGATTTGATGTTATGCGGTATCTAAGGCCTTTATCAGCTAACCTTGAAAGTAAATGTCCTATTTTCAAGAAACTAGAGGACTTCTCAGTGTATGCCCAGATTTTTTCAAATAAGTCTTTTGTAGTAAAAACAATCTAAGAAGGGCATTGAGAATGTCCTTACCTCCAACAGATCCCAATTCAACCACCTTGGTGTCAATTTCAGCAACAATAGATTTAAGTGCAAACTTACCCTTTTCCCACTTCTGTTTCTCTTTCTGCAGCTTTTTCAACTCAGCAGCCTCAGCTTTCTGAGCTGCCTTTTGCAACTTCTCTTGCTGCATGATAGATTTTAATCAGTTTACTTCTGCAAAAATGAAATGCTAGAATATTATTTTAAAAAATCAAAAAGTAATAACCTCCTTCTTCAGCTTCTTTTCTTCCTTCAAGCGAGCCCGTTCCTCCTCTGTCATCCTCTGCTTTCTTGTCACTCCATCTCTACCATTTCTCTTGTTGGAGGTAACTTTACATTTTTTGCTCCGTTTTGGTATATCATCCATCTGCCCCATGCTAAAATTTTCTTTCTTTCGATCATCAATTACCTGATTCAATGTCATTAAATAATTAAAATCAGCTCTAAATTACAGGTTTCTTCTTTTGTGTTATTAATTCAATTTCTTTCAACAACATCTTGAAAAGGACTGACCATCCCAACAGTACAGTTGTAGCACTACATAAAAACATGAATTTTACAATGACTTTTATTTGAACCAATATGCATAAGAGGTAGCCGTCCAATTAATGTTAATTTAAACCACAACAGAAACTGCTTGATGTCACCTTTTCACAGTCCACTGAATCGCTGAGGATTTAAATTAAATGACTGTATTTGCCAGCTATTTTCATTGAATATTTTGCCTAATCTTCTTTAGTTTGGTTGACATTTGAAAATTTAGAAACAGATATGACAAGACCTATGAATGTAAACAAGAAGTATAATGCACCATTTTCTTTTCATGCCTCAGGAGGAAGCACCTGATCAGGATTGTCTTGTGAATGCATTTGCAGCAAATTATCCTCACACATTTGACCTTCATTAGCATTCCCTGAAATTTTGCTGTCTATAACTTCCATTAATATAGAAGAAAAGATATTCAAAAATAATGAAGAGTCTACCTTTCCATTTTTCAAAAGCATAGAAAAATTTCAGGCATCAGAGAAACACAACTAAAATCATTCAAATACAAGGTGAACATACCAATATTAGATGTGGAATCAGAAATTCTAAAACACCATTCAAAATTCTGCAACTCATCAAAAGCAGCATCAGTAGTTTCATTTTTCTGCAAATTTTCTCTTCTAGAACCACTTTCAGACTCATTGTCAGACTCCAAACATATCAGTCTGCTGATTCCTGTGATATAAGGAAACAGGACAACAACCAGACATTCAAAAAAATGTTAGGGTAGATAAGATGCTAAAACAAAAATGATTTGCAACCAACCAAAATATTTTTTATAGAATCCAAGAAAAATAAAAAAAAAAAGAAGAAGAAACAAAGTATAATTTCAAAATCAATGCAGAACCTAAAAGGAAGGAAAAAAATGAAACGTTATTCTTAAAGTGAAAATAGAAGTACTAGATAACTCCCCATGACCTGAGATCACCAGCAGAACCTCCTTTTTTCCTCTCATGATGATGAACCCTCAAAACTTAATCACCTAGGGAGACCTCTTTAGAATCATTTAACAAAATATTTCTACTAAAGTAAAAGGAAAATACTTCCTCTCCAATTCATGTTCACTCAAACTTGACTTAATTCATAAGAATAAGCAACTCCCTAAAACGAAGAAGAAAACACCTAAACCACATAATGAACAATTTGACATAAAAAAACATTCAAATTCTACATTTGTTTATAATAAAATCAAAATGACGGTAAGATCCCAAATTAAATAATTAAACTACTTAAGCTAGCTGGCCAAACCAACAAACACCACAGTTAAGAAAATTGAATAGAAAAGAAAAAAAAATGCTTAACTCTAGAATTAGAATCCAGGCATAGTTCAAAGAAAGAAGAAAGCAATAAAGTGAGTTAAAAGGAGAAAGCACAAACCAGAGAGCTTATCATTGCTACTACCAGTATTGGAAACCCTAATTTCAGGATAAACTGAAGATCCGACGTAGCTGCATTTTACGACGGTAGGCTCGGACATCGGTGTCTCGGGGACGAAGGAGGGGGTGGAAGTAGCGGGGCCCAGAGATTTCCTCGGGGTAGGATCGTCGACGACCACCACCACCGAAGGAAACGAAAGATCCGGTTCGGTTCTGCGTTTCTTGGAGAGTAACGGGAGTGGGGTGTTTGGATCATCTTCGTCGGAAAGGATGATCGGATCCGACATTGGAACTGCTGTATGGTTCTGAAACGAATTTTACCGAAGAACACGGGAACTCAGATGGGATTTTTTGTTAAGGTGTTAATCTGCTTCGAAAATGCGCGGGATTGATAGGATGATGATGAAGAGGGGTGTTTGGACTGGCCCAATTCACATATTTCAAATTTCAACGTCAGTACTCAGTTGTCAAGGCTGGCCCAATTCACATATTTCTTTCTGGCGTTTGGTATTGGGTTCAATACATTTGGGCTTTTTATAGGTCAGCCGGATTGTAAAATAGAGGTACAAGGTTGTTAATTAATTTAGAATTTAATAATTAATCGTACATGAAATGAAATAAATTTACAACTGTTTAATTTAGCTATTTGGAAACAAGAAACAGTGAAATTCAATCACTGATACTTGTTGTTTATAATTTAAGTAAGGGATTTTTTAACCTATTCTCTTAAAACATAGGTTAAATCTGATTAATTACAACATTTACAATTAATTTTATATAAATTTTCATACAAAAGTTAAATAAAATATAATATATAGAGATTGTGCATATCAGTCCGGGCTCCAAAAATAGTTAGAGTCATAACCTACATTTAAAAATTGAAATTTTATCATATTAAATGTTAATATTTAAATTTAGAAACCGATTATATATTCTAATATATCAACATTTAATAAAATAATTTTTTAAATTGTGAATTGAGTTTTAATTAAATAAAATAAAATTGTTTAAGGTTTAGACTTCAATTATTTTTAAAAATCGAAACTAATATGCACTTTTTTCATATAAAATGTAAAAATATAATATAATATAATATTTATATTCAAAATTTGTAAAAAGTTCTAAATTTGATATGAAAATTTATATAAATTTAATTAAAAATGCTTTAATTAATGAGTTTTAACATGTACTTTAAGGTTACAGATTAGACAAATTCTTTAAATAAATATCATTATGGTTCATAACAACTAAATTAAATGAAACATATATAGAATTCAATTTTAATTAAATTAATTCATTATTAAAGCTTTGTTTAGTATGTGTTCAGGGGGTGTTGGTGATGTAGATGGATGAGTCAACAATAGTAGTGATGTCGGAGCTGACTAAGATAACACAAAAAAATAATAATAATAATAATAATAAGGGAGGTTCTTTCGGCAGCACCCGTCTCATGTGCGAGGAGCTACATGCTACAGGCCATCCCACTCTACTGGGCAATGATGCCTTGCAGTGAACTCTCCAATGAAGCTTTTGAAAGGATGAATCTTCCAGCCAAGCCAGTGTAGTTGGACAGCAATGACGGGATTCCAAGGATCTAAGATGATTACACAACTACCAAAAATATGATGAATGGAGGTTGTGTGTTGTTACGGAGGAGCAGCAGAGATGAAAAACACATGTGGTTCAAAGACTACAACTTGAAAGTCATATTCATACATGAATCATTGTGGCATGATAATAATGACAATAAATATGACTCCCTTCATCTCTAGTGTATATCTTTACCCTATAACGAACAATTCTCATATTGAAAATGAAGAGTGCAGCAACTTCACTCTTAAGATTCTTCCAAAGACAAAGGGGTAAACTTGAGAGTGGTGATGGGAGAAGGAAGGATGACCGCTTGGGGGCTTACGAATGGAACACTTGATCCCATTCTTGATGCTAACCTTGCGACCTTAATCGTTTGATGCTCAAGAAGAATTACCCGAAAGTTGAAACTGTAGTATGTTGTTTCCCAACCTTAATATCCTACAAGCCTAGGAGTGTTCTGCGATCTTGGGTGTTATTCTATAGTGCTAAAAAATGTTCTACAATGCTGGGAAATGTTCTATAGAATTGGGAAATATTTTGTAGAGCTGGGAAATATTCTACAGAGTTGGGAAATATTTTGCAAGGTTGGATACACAAGAAACCCAAAAGAATGGTGATTTTCGAGGGTTTTGGTGTGCAGCGGAGTAGGTTAAAGATGGACTATTTCTTTTGGAGGAAGAAGGGGAGCTTGGTGTGTGAGAGAGAAGCTAAAGTTATGCGTGTGTCAATCTGTTTTTGTGCTGCATATATCTCTATGTTCTTTGTTCTCCCTTCTTCTTCTTCTTTTTAAATGAATGGCAAATAATTTATAAATATATATATATATATGCAATGGTATTGTTGTAATTTCTAGTTGATGGTTTAGAAGTGTGTAAGCAAGTTGGGGTGAGCTGTCGAATTTTCGGTGGTTCCAAGCACTGTTGACAACTCTGTGACAATGGCATCATGAATTGCCCAACGGTTCCAGCGAAGCTTTACTGGTTCTAGTGAGAAATTGGAAATTGTATATTTTTTGGCAATGTTCCTAGCCATACGAAATCCCATCTTTAGGGAGGTGCTTGAGTGCAGCCAACAAAAACAACTTCTGCACAAGATTTGGTGAGTTCCCCAAGCTCTACGCAAGATTTTGGAAGATTTTGCAAGTAGATAATAATCTTTTACAACAGTTTCCAAGGTCATAGAACTTGTATAGCCACCTTTGCATTAAATATGGTTGCAAGTGGTTGACGGTGACCAAGACAACACCTCTGGTTAGTTTTTGACGGGATTTCCAGTCTTTAGTTAGCATGAAACGGCACTGTTCCGGGGATCAAGTTCATTTCCATGTCTTCGCCATCTAGCCTCTTTCTGGCGAAGTTGAGCAACATCGCTAGTGCCAAGTTTCGCTGGTGCAGATGCCTTGTTTCACCGGACAGGAAGCGTTCATCCATCCATGCCTGCCAAGCCACTACTCCCATGGTTATCCTGAATAATTCCCATGAGCTTGGATCCATGGGCTTGTGTTTATCTACAATAACAACAAGGCACATATAAGTATATCTTTAAGAATAAGAAACATGTAGGCATAAGCAGCGCAGAAGGAAACTCTCTCGTGTGTTGAAGGGGACTATGTGGATGAATATTTGTTGTTCTCGCTTGCTTGCTTGCTGGCTGGCCATGGTCGGCATCTGTATATCGTTGTTGTACATGGCTGGTGTTGTACCAAAATGAGGAATAAATGGTGTGGGTGTGTATTGCGATATTGTTGTCCCGAGTCAAGCTTCACTGGTTGGCGATACCTGCTGACATGTAAAACATAGGAAATATGTATTATGAGTTAGGGTTATCGGTGATTGGTAATTTTATCCCTTTGTGTAGAAGAGTGATAATGTGCATGACCTCTGGCCATGTTATGTGTGTATTGCGAGGTCAGCTATGTATAGTCTTCCCTCAGCCATGTAGTCTTCCCATAACTAGAGGGACAACAGTGGTTTGCTTTGTCCATGGCTAAAGTGTGAACTATGTGGAATCGAAAGAGCACTCCCACTAATCTACTAAGTTCCAAAGGGGTAAATCTCGTTAAACCAGACTCCGCCATAGCAATGAATATGTATAGAGAAATGTAGAGTTCTCTTCATGGAAAGGGGATGCCAGCCGAATCTATGGCCTCCGATACAACAAGGTGTGATACTACTGACAAACGTTAGCCTTTCTTGTCGTACCAGCACCAATAAAGGGTGGTCTTGGTTATTGTTGCCCGTCAGGCACCACATCACTATGCACAGGCAACCACCAAGGGACAATCGGCCATTACTTAATGGATTTTTATCACTAGAGGGTAGCCATTCCATCCAATCACAAGGTTGTAACTGTTATTGGCCTCATGCTAATCGCACCAAGTTGCGCTGACTCTTTGTCTGTTTTCGGGAGCCAGTGAGATAAAATATGCAGAGATCCGACCCTTTGTCCGTTACCAGGAGCTGATGAAATGAAGATATGTAGAGATGTGTAGCTTTTTGTCCATTGCTAGAGGCTAAATGACATAGCAAATCTAACCCTTTGTCCATCATTGGGAGCTGTGTAGATAGAATAAGATCAGCTCGTTATCCATCGATGGAAACCATGTAATAAAGTAGGCTCTTTATCCATTATTGGGAGCCGATGCACATTGCTGCAGAGCACATGACCATCAAGAAATACTTAGCCATGTCGCCAAAATAGATCTAGTTATGTCTAGCCATGTATGTCAAAATAGATGCTGAAGTAAGTTACATTCTACAATGCCTTCAGCGAAGTGCATGAGTGTCCTGTTTGGCAATGCTAATTCCATCACAGCAATTAATAGAAAATTGGAAACTGCACATCCAATATAGGAAATGAGCATTGTGTGCCCTTATTGACGTGGATACTTACACGTCATTGGTTTTGCAACCATACAAATCCATCCTTCAACAATATGATTATAAATTTTAATTATAATTTTTATAGATTTTAGAACTCTAAATAAAAAATTTATTTAGCTACTTTTATGTTTATTTATCAAAAATTATTATAATTAGTAAAGAAATAAAAACAAAAATAGTCTTAATACCACTAAACAAGCTTATAATTTTAATTGCTAATGTTTTAAATAAATTAGTTCCAATTTTTGCTTTAAATTTTAATTTTTAACTATTTTAAAAGTTATAAAAACTACAATTAATTATAATAATAAACGAAGTCTGAATTAAAGTGATGAAACTTTTAAAATTCAACTAGCTAATTCGGATTTAGCGGGAGGAAGGACGCCCACCTAGTCACCATTACCTGTAGATTTGATGGCGTGAATCTTCTTCTGATTTTGTGATGGTGGAGTTTTGACAAATTTTTTTAAAAAAATTAATAATAATAAGAAATGGTGAAAGAGGGAGAGTCCAAAAGGACGACTAAGCATGCCATCCGGCCGGCCAACATGCCGTGACCATGCACAGTATGGAGCACGTGATGGGCCATGGGCGCCTGAAACCCTGGCACATGCCGGGCCACAATAATTGCCTGTTCCCAGCTCTTCTCCCATGTCATTTTACCTTTACGTACCTGACTTCAAGTGGAATATACTACTGAAATATAATTAAAGTTTAATTATGATAATTAATTATTTAAATAATTTAATGATTATTTTTTTTATTGAAAAAAAAAATTTAATTTGAATCATATTATATGTAA